TGCCTCATTTTGGTAAGAATATACAAAATGCAAACGATGGAATTATTATGGCTCAAAATAAGGTGTGGATTTAATTGCATTCTTGTCTTTATTAAGGACTGCAGATGATCAAGACTAACGAGGGAGTTATGTTCTTTACTGTTCATTCATTACCCTTGTGTGTTATAAACAATAATAACATTCCCCGCTATGACTTTTAGCGGTTTTGCTAGAAAGGTAAAGCTACTGAACATAAAAAAAGATGCAAAACGAATTACCTGGTATTTAAAAACACACAAAACACAAGTGACAGAGCAAAGAATATACAGTCCCCCATTGTTGTAAAATAATGCCTTTCATTTCTCAAATAGCACGTAGAAGTCAAAGCACTTAGAATAGGAACTTCAAACAGGTGACCATTCTGTTTGAACAGAACCGCTAACAGCCTTTACTGCTACTAAGGCAGCTTTCTTGACTTTCCCTTATGAAGTCTCTCCTACAGTTCTCCTCTGTGAGAGGCAGACGGGTTTGGTATGGAACACGTGTACATTTAAAAGACTTGGCTTTTGCAATTTCATCAGTTTTCTGAAAGACTGAATTTCTTGAATTTAAAGCAGGTGTTTTTCTCACAAACCCTGAGATCATCTCATAATAGCTCATACCTTTATTTTGTGAAGTCTATCCACGGGCAATTGCTTCTAGCTTCCCCCCAGAGAGAACACTCACATACAATATACTGTTTGACAAGAGAATGCCACCCACGTATTTTAATATCCAAATTTCCCTTCAGCTGGAACGTAAAAACAATAAGATTGAAATGAATGTGTTTATGCTTTCATTTCTAAGTGACAGTATTTAGGATATTTGTGAATTCATTTTAATTATTATTTTTTGTCCAGGACAAATTGAGCTGGGTAGCCTTACGATATCTGTTGAGCGAACTTTAATTTGAACATTCAGTTTCATAATGAAATGCTTAGTTCGAAATAACTCTCTTTTTCGTGTTTAAAGCAACATCATTAAATAGAGAAAAAAAAAAGTTTTTTGAACGGACCGCGTTCCAATGAAAATAAGCCTTGTCCTTCAGCTTCACAGAGCTGGGGACAACTTTCATGTTTGCGAGCTAGAGAAGGTAACACAGTGTCGGTGATTGATCTAGACAGCATCGCATAGAAGCATCCAATAAAACAAAACAACCGTGTTTTCGATGCTTGGAGTGATTTAGTTTTAGCGCTGAGCAAAACCTTTTCGCTTTTTATTTTCCGTAGTGTGCTCCCTAGTGGTGCTGTTTACAGCCAACGAGAAAATCCAGTTAAACGCGCAATACCGAGGAGCAAGGCAGCGGGGATGATAAAGTGTTATCCTTGTTTCCTGCTTTTATACCCTGTTTGGAGGCTGGATTGATGACTTTCACAAATCCATCTGGGAGCTGCGGTTGATGCCTTGAACAACCAACGACTCACAGAGGTTGGGCTAAATTAGAAGCACGCAGGTACAGTACACCTCTGATGAGACTCGTTGGAAACTACGACGAGACAGAAAATAGCCGGCTCCTGGACATCAAGCGCACGGACTCCCAAGCTTAGGAAGCGACAAGGTAAACGCACACAGACAATTAAAGACCTCTAAAAAGTGGGACATTAACCATGTGCAGATGAAGCTGCCTCTCCTAAACTCCAGTTGAAGGCATCAATCTGGGAATAAATACCTGGACAGCCAAGGGCTTAGAAATCGCTTAGAGAAGCTTTGTTTTTTGAACTCTTTAAGAGATAGTTTGCTGTTTCTGCAGAAAACATACCATTTGTCACCGTTGGATCTACCTGCATTTAAAAGATGGTGTTTTTCTTGTAATATCTGTATTTGTGCCGCTACCTAGTCAGTGGTGTCCGGTGACAAGACCTGAAAAACGACGTCCCACGGCCATTGACAAATCACACAGACTGCTTATACGTTGCATATACATATATTTCACTCTGACTGCATGCTCAGCTGGTCTGTCAGATCCAGTGCTAACATCCCCGTCGACTGTGTGTATATGGGGAAGAGAGGGGAAAGGATTTGCGTATTAATTTTTAGCTCCACGGACAGCATTATGGCAAACGCAAAGATTTCCTGCTGACTGTTTCTTCGAATCGTATTAGCTTTTGCTGCATGTCCAACTGTTAAGGTGGTTAAGTGCTTTCAGCGAAACACAGAGCTGAAAACAGCTGTTTCTTTGGAGAAAGGCTTCATGCTTACTCCGCTGAGCGAAACTGCCGCTACCACCGAGTCCTCCTGGCTGGTGAGTAACCCTCGCTTGCTTCCAATCTCTACATATGGGAGACACTGGACCGTATGGCGTGCTATTACCTTGTCATCAGCTCCACACACCTCAGCAATGGCCATTTCCGAAGCATTAAGGGAGTTTTCAGAGGTCCCCTCTGCAAGACTGCGGGGAGTGAATCACTGGTAATGTAAATTTGTTTCTTCCATGACTTTCTTTCTTTTCTGTTAATGCATGCACCTGACAATGCACTTGCATGTATACTGTATATACTGTACAGTGTAACGCGTAAGGTTATACGATAACAAGAGATATAATTGCAGCACTTAAGTTTTCTTTCTTGTGACCTCTAGAATTTAGTAAAGGTTTTTTTTTAAGTGGCGGTATACTCAAACGTGGTTATCATTCTATTAATTGGTGCCGTGTTGCTATCCTAACGCTGACCGTCCAGCATAACAACTGTTTTTTAATTCATGATGTAATTACAAAACAATGCTATTTTGAGAATGAACAAGATAAGCTTTTTAAATACAGGCTGCACCCCCACGTACTCCTGGTGTTGTTGTTGTTTTTTTGTCATTGTAATGGTCATTTTTAAGGTATAGCAAAATATGTACTAGAGAATTGTTGTGCTCATTATAAACATGCAGCCAAATGTACGCAGACCTTTATTAGAGTTTTTAAGTTTGAAGTTTTTCATTGTGCAGTGTTCATTTACAGGTTGTCCAGCATTGATCTGTAGAGGTATTTCATGTAGAATATAAGTGTTTAAAATTTGACATAAGAAATAGTTGTGGATTTTGTGCCTTTATATAGCGAAACCCCTAGGACACAAGAACTTACAGTAAACCTGTAGTTTTCTCTAAGACCAACAGAGAGTTCTGTTTTCGTGTGTACAGTATATTTGTATATGTAGGAGCGGATACGTTCAGTAAATAAAAAGAGGAAAAGTCCTTTCTTATAAGGAAAACCACAACTACTGTGTATAACACAGTTGTAATATATGTGTAATTCAGGCTTTCTATCTTCATACATTGAAGGTGTTGCATTTTAGCTAAAAGACCAGTGTGTAATTGGCCTGTATTTAAAACTATTCAATCGTGTGCTGGTATTAGCGTTCATTTAGGATAAAGCAACGAAGCACACGTGTTTGCATTTCAGGGATACTGACATTTACAATATCAAAATAGTTTTCCCTTTGGTGAGAAACACTATCAATAGTAGTTCTCAAGGTTGCTCAGACTAGTCGTATTTATTATTTAACATCCATGGTTGCATAATTCCATATTTGAAATGCTCTGTGTTCACTGAGCATGAAATGCAATATGAATTTGTATGTGCTTTCACAATTGGCAACACTGTTGAACATTTTAAACATCTTTATCAAATTTCATGGTTCTGCAAGCAGGACTTGTGCAAATTGGGTTTCTTTGTGCTGTTTATTTAGGTTAATTATTTGAAATGGAATTCCTTGGTTATTGATTGATAACATTGTGTTTAATGGTCTGAAATAAGTAAGTTCATTGGTGCTTTTGCTTTCTGACATTTATAGCACTTCAGGCGCAAACGATACATCATGGCCAATATTTGACTGCACTGAAGAATTGGATTTTATAGGCTAGGCTGAAAAAAATGATTTGGACAAATGGAAGGCGTTTATATCTTGTGATATTTATAAATGTCATCTGTAATTGTGGATCTTCTGCTTAGCTAATAAATTGTGATGCAACACATTTAAAGCATCATATACAGTACATTACAAAATAAGACAATGATATCTCTTACATGAACTTCTGAAGTTTAGCAGCCTCTGCTATAGTCTCACATTTATATTATATATAAATTTAGCTCCTTAATAAAGCATTTTCTAGAAATTCTAAATGATGTATTTGGAAGAACAGTTTTAATTACAAAATACATCGGGTATATTTTGTTCTAAATGCCAAGGTGTAATTTGTTATTTATGTTATTTATAATAAAATATTGATTGGAAAAGACTGTATGACCCCCTCCCCAACTCACACAATAACTTTCTGTGAAGTTCTGCTGCCGAAGAACAAGCTATGCATCTTAATCTGGAGTACCCTACTCTGTCTGCAGTTAATGATTTATGGATGGTTGCTCTGTTAGGATTTGCCTTTACAGTTTGGGACACAGTATAACTTTAGTGTCCTGCTGCCTTTTCATATAGCATTTAATCACTGCTGCACCATGTGCACATAGCTATTCTATGGGCATTGTCCACCACCAGAGGGCTCCTACCACCTGTACCTTGCCTGTATTGTGTTGGACCACATGTTGCAAGAATAAAGCACAGGATCTGACTGGCATTTCTGTCCTGCTCGTTTAGTACTGCTTCTTCCCTCCTTGTTAGACTGTGAGCTGCTCTTTTTATTCTTCGTACAGAATGCCATAAAAACACACCAAATGCGATAATGCCTAGAATGGGAGCTCCCACTGTAAAAGGAGAGTGGAGATAAATGAACGAGGCCTGAAAGAGGAAAAAGCCTCTGACTGCTGTGTCAGTTTTTTGGTATTGAAAAACTGAATCCAGTGGTGTTTCTTTCCATAAGAACGACAACTACAAATTAGTGAGAATGAAGTACATTTGAAGGATTTTCCAGTCTCCAACCAATGACAGAGAAGAGGACTGAAACCCATGGTTTTCATGAATCAAAAAACGCTACAATAAAAAATGTTCTAACAGTCTGTAACACCTTATAGTACAAACGTCAGCCGTTACTTTTTCAGCTCCAATGTAAACTGTTTCAAAGGGATACAGATCTATCCCAGAAGAATGTATGCGTTTTTTTCCCCCCTTTGGTTTTTTATTTTGTATTTAAGTCTTTGGGCTTGTAGGTAACACAAAATTATATATTCATGAATTTATTAATTTATTATATCATTTAGCAGATCACCAACACATTCTGTAGCTTATTAAGGAACAGAAATGCAGAATGGGTTGTCTTTTTAAAGAAATGCAGAATCATCTGTGTCTTTTGTTGACATATTTAATTTAATTTTTTTTTTACAAATCAATCCATTTCTGTGATTGTAATGAGCTTTGATACAGGAGTTAAAAAGCAGGGGCCCAGTATGCTGCATATAAAAGGTTTGCTTTTTCATTAGATTGAGTGTTGTTTTTCTAAATGTGGCAGTACAAGAAATCACATTACAAAATATGAAACATTCATTAAAAAGGAGGCAGCATGAAAAAAAAATCTCCATCTGCTTCTTTTGCATTTTTCAAAGCTGCATATTCTTTCTAATTTGAATTATTCTAAAATGTTGGCCAAATAAAGGTCCCTTTGAAATTGACTGTCAGACAACATTGGTTGACATAAAAAAACATGAGCAATAAAAGCTTTGCAACATTTCACAGCTTCTTTTTTTAAATCACTGTCAAATGGGAGATGAAAATACGCTTTTCACCCCAAAAGACTGAGAGCTGGGATAAAGAACAGAGGCAATACATTAAGCGGGGAATTATTTATGTCATAGTTCTTATAAATATTGCATTACAGCAGGCTGCATTCATTAGTCATCAATATTTAGAGAGGTGAGTATTTTTTTGTTATTTCTGCATATTGGAATTTAGTATTTAGTATTTTATAAAAGGTATCAAAGAAGATCATGCTTAAAGTGTAATATAAGCATGTGTGGGCAAAGAGAAGCTTTCAAAAGGAAAAATATAGTAACAGAGACAAAAAGATACTTTTATCAGAATGCACACTTAAGTTAAAGGACTGCTGTGATTAATACCAATGAGTTCTCTTAGTAGCAGTCTAGGTACATTACCCGGGCTGAATTGAGAAGCAGTTTCATTATGTTCATGTCAGTAGCAATGCTTAACAGTATTCTCTTCAAACGGGGCTGAAGTGGTGGTTCTGGCACAGCCCAAGTAAATACAGTGAAATACTTGGTGGCAGTGGCATTCTGCATAACATGTCTTCTGTATATTTTGTGTCATGCTTTTTTAAGCTGTAAGTACGTTATTTCCTAATGAATGAAGACTGGCAATGTAGAGTGAAATGTATTTCATTTTGAAGCCTTCTTGTGGCAAAAGTAGTATGTTAGGTGTTAAACATAGCCATTGCTGACTGTTACTGTAGCTCTTTTTGGTAACTTTGTTCTTGTCAGCCTGCACAATCTGCTGGAGCAGTTCATTGCTGAAGCTTGGGGCCTTCTTCAGGATCTTCAATCACAATTATTCCTCTTGACTAGTGGGCCTTGCAGGAATTATCTTAGGAGCAGCTCCACAGTTACTGTTCCTTAGCGGCCATAAACATGGGGTAATTATGTAACATTTACTGTGAAAAATACTTTATCTTCACTTTGAGCTAATTCACCTGCTTTCTGCTTCATTGGCATAAATACCAAGACAATAATATCCAGATACTAGTTTATTCTATATTATTAGTGGAAACATGATCATATAAGTTTGTCAGGTAACAAAGTACTTCAGAGGCAGACAGATTTCTATAAATCATTTGTAAATACAATTACACAATAAATTATCAAATATTAATTACACTCAGATTCAGGGATTCCAATTAAAGCATAGATGTTTATGATGATTGTTAGATTTCTTTTCTTTTACAACTGTTTGCAAAACCTTGAAGAAAGAATGCAATGCTTTATATAAAAAAGTAATACAAATCTGATTATTGATCCAGTGGTGTAAGACAAGGAAAATAAAAAAAAATAAAATTTCTAAGCTTAATTAAAAAACTGGGTCTATGTTACTCCTTTGAAGGGTTATCACAACTATGATAGATATTTTTTCTTAAACATGTCGAGTAGGGTTGCATTGCTAATAAAAAAGTAGATGTATTATGTGAACAACTAAATACATTGATATTTATACCATGTTTTATTTAAAAACTGTTTTTTTCTGTGTTTCTAGTATTATTTATTTTAGTGGGTTTTTCAGAGCAGGAAAATATGTGTGGCAAACTTATTAATATGTAGAAGTACTTGATATGGACTTACAATATATCACTAACCTCTATGACCAATTTCAGTTTGAAGACTTGCGTTGGCTGTACACTGAAAATAAAACTGAATGATACAACACCATGCATAAAAACCATATAGCAAAATAAAATTTCACATGAACACACCAGGACCACAGTTAATGAGCTGCATGTGCAGAAAGCCCTTGGCAGCTCTCGAGTCCTTAATG